TGTTAGCTGCATTGTAATTAATAAATAATTGTAAGGTAAAGTAGGACATGAGTCCAACATTTGGTAAAACTAATGTGAATCCCTAATGTGGTAACCAGTGTGAATATGGCTATACAACTTTGGTTAAACTATTATGAAGACCTAATGTGGCAACCAATGTGAATGTGTCCATACAAGTTTGGTTAAACCTCTATGAAACCCTAATACGAAAATAAGAAATTGATAAATTATGATGAACCCTTAATGTGGCAATGAACGTAAGTGTGTTTCAAAAGAATAAGGAGGTTTGGGAGGGATTCACGTATGTCTGATCACCGTGCATCATACTAGAGTGAGAATATGTTTTTCATCTAGAGAGTGTGCCATAATACGGAAGTAGCTCGCATGTATTTCTAGACACTTGAGAGTCTTAAAACGTCTAGAGAGAATGGTATAATACAAACGTAACTCATATGTTATCCTAGATTAGAGTTTAGCGAAAGTGTTGTAGTACGTACATAACTCGCATGTACTCCTAGACAATTAAGAGTCTATTGATGTCTAGAGAGAGTGTCGTAGTACAAAATATAGCTCACATGTACTCCTAAACTATATAACTCAGAAAAAATGTTGTACTACACAAGTTAACCCACACATCCTTCTAAAATAAGTCATGAATTCATTGATTGGTACCACGTGCATATGGAGTAGAGGATAAAGAGCATTGCATATGCATTCATTTTATACTACATAGTGGCGTGTAACTCTATGTAACATTGTATGATTTTGTAATATTGTGTGTTATAATTTATGTTACCTTTTACTGTTAGTATATTGTATAATTTGTAGAATGTATTTCCCCCTTTTATTTCTATGTCTCCATGATTAATTCAGTGTGTACGGTATCCTAATATCGAGATTGAGGAATAGTGTGATACTTTTATTGAGGACAGTGTAGAAGACCTCTTTATTAGTTTTCTTTCATGTTTATATTTGTTGAACTGTTAAGTCAACTAGTACATTGGTTGTAATAAGGCTTTGTTATTGTGACACTGAAGTCGATATTCATGTTTTTCAATTTGTTATATTTGATTCATTGGCTGAATAACTACTCATATATGAGAAACACTTTGTTGTTTTGTATAAATGTGATATCTTGTTTGTTATATGAAATAAATATTCTGCAAAATTATGTTTTATATGTCATAAAAAACAATAATAAAATAGAATTTGGGGATTTAGAGGGTCACAGACCATGTAAATTCTACTTCGACCCTATATGAAGATGACACAGGTATTCCAAAAATCCAATGCCTAAATGATTATGATAAATAACAACTAGTTTACTTTACTTTTAATAAATGATAACACCGTCAATATCACAATTCCTACACGATACACATATGACTTTGTTGATTAACATATAATGATTTAAATACCTGCACATCATGAATCACTAGAACAAAGATAATGATTTTGCTAAAAGTTATTCACGTGTTTATAATATATTTGTTGAATTATTCGCATGAACTAACCACATAGAATTGTATAAGGAACACGATCCACTCCTTTGTGAATTGATGTCGTCAAGAATAAACTAAAATATGAGAAAAAGAATGAGTTTCTTGAACAAACACAAGAAACCTTATTAGGTTTTACAAAATGGAGAGAAGAAGGAAGAAGAAGAATAAGAATTGGTTAAATATGTTTTTCTATTCACCTTCTCAATAAGGGTTCAAAGATTACAAGTGAATACCAACAACTAACTTATCTCAACAATCTGAGAGATCTAGTCTATTTATAGAATACTAAGCTAACTTAGGCTACAAGCTAACTTAACAATTGGACTTACAAACAAAGCTCAATTTGACATGCTAACTTAAACACAAAGTTAATATATTTCGACAACATGCTTGAACAAACTTCGACTCCAGCATGCACAACTCATGTCGAACCATGAAACTATCCTTGTCGACACTAGAGTTCGATCCAAGTACCATAAATCTCCACCTTAGAACAAACTTTACACTAACAAGAGAATAAACTAGCTTTCATCATCTTCACCGAAAATCATACTCCACTATAAAGAGTATAGTCCCTTGAAGCTACACCACTCCAAGAATTTTCACATTGTCTTTACCGACAATCATAGTTTTAAAAACTATCATACTCTCTCATGAAAAATATATTTCACTTGAAGATAAACCACTTCAAGAATTTCACATTATTTTCATTAATAATTATAGTTTTAAAAAACTATCATACTCCACCTAAAGAAGAGTATACTTCACTTGAAGGTAAACCACTTCAAGAATTTTCACATGTCGAAAACAAGTTAAAACTTTATTGTGCAACTTCCATGTTGGTAGGAAGCTCTTCAACCACCAACATAATCTCACACCTTGTGAAATCTTGATTGTATCAACACATGTTTGACTTGAACTTTCCACGAGTAAAAAAAAAATTCTTCCATCAATTTTCTCTAGCCCAAACTGCATAGCAAAACTTGTGACTGTAGCTCAACAACTCTTTCACAATACTACCCTTCTTTCCTGATGTGGAAGATCAGAGAAAACCACAACCATATTGCATACTAAAACATTTATCTATGGATCAAACAAAAAGCTCTAATACCAGTTGTTAAGAAGAAACAAACAAAGCATAGAGAAAAAAGAGAAACACAATCACAACAGAAGAACATAGCATGGAAACTACAAAACTGGAGAAAAAACCACATTCATTGTCAATAGGCAACCAGAGAATAACACCATGTGAAAATTGTTACAACACATAATAAACCATCAAATAACCCAGACCACCAATACACTCACACCCTCCAAAACAAATATTTAACTACATCTCAGAACGCTCTAATACAAGAGTATAAGATAACAAAGAAAGTCAAATAAAAGCTTAAAGTGCTTTTCATTGGTGCATCTTGGAATGAAAAACTTGAATCCTATATATAGCCTTGAACTTGTTATTATTTCACAAAATTAAGGGATGTGGGACTTCAAAGAACTTGTATCCTATATATAGCTTTTGAATCTCTCTTCATTCACAAAACTAAGTAATGTGAGACTTCTTCAACATGTATATTTTCAACCAACCCCAACAACTCCAATAAAGAGTCAAAGCGTAATGAAAGATAACAAGTCTAAAGAATGGAGGTTCTTAGGGTATGATTTATCCCCATTTCCATCCATAGCTTATTCAACAAGGGAAGTACATTTTAATTGTGAGATTCATGTCATTAACTCTCTTAAGATTGAGAACCCTCATCTTATGTAGGTATGAACCCCTATAAACTTTTATATTTGGTCGAGCGAGAGTCATGACTCTCACATTCAGCAAAATTGGAATCCTTTCAAAGCTCTTACAATTGAATGAAAACAAATATTTATAATCTCTAGTACACACACTTTCCATCTAACTATCAGTTGTCAAACTTTAACACCACATCTACCTTGACCCAAGAACTACTCATTAGAAGAACATTTATGTTTCGGTCGACAACTTGTTTTTAGATATGATAGGATGTCGATAATACCCAATACACAAAAATAAGGAAAAATTATGATTGAAGCTCAACCTTGAAAAATAATACATCATCTACAACCTCAACACATATACAAAACACATTAGAACGTAAAAACTATGTTCAAGTTAAATTACAACATCATACCAATCATCAATACAATAAATTTGATCAATAACAGTCTCATAAAGGGAATTCCTAATCAGCAAATACCATATTCAAACTATCATCTGACTCCACCTACAACCCAAAACTCAAATGGAACACCAAACTCAAGTTACTACCTGACTACATCAACTAAGACGTGACATATATTATTTCGGTATGATATAAAATCCAACAAGACACCTATGTTATAAGGTCCAACATGGCGTTTAGGTGATCCAAACCCAACACCACAATTTCAAGGCTATATAAACTTAACACCATCAACACTCAAGGTACATACTTTCTCACCATAAAAACACCACTACCTATGTTAGTCATTGACTTGGACGCTATATTGTTTGCATGTACAACCCCATCATCAGACCAAATCCACCATAAATATTGTAAAACGAGTTTCAGATCAGAATACATACAAAATTTTCAAATTAAAATAATATAAAAGGTTAAGTGATTATATAAAAGATTAAGTGATTAAATTCAAGTGGTTAATAAATTCTAATTTAAAAAATTGTTAGAAGGAGCTCTAATTCAAATCTCGATTATAATAATTCTTACTCAACTTTTACTAATATTTTGATCAACCTCCATATTATGAAAAAAATCTCGTGAAAAAAAACATATGTTTAAAATTAAGACTTAAAGACTATAAAAAATAAAATAAAAATTAAAGGGAGGGGAGCTCAAAAGTGTGGGGGTGTTTAAGTGAAATTAGAAAAGAAAGGGTGCATTAGCAATTTAGTACCCCTCTACTAAATTATTTCTCATGATTGAGTTGTTGTCCGTGGACCATACCATAAAATTAAAAATAAAAATAAAGTATTAGTCGACAACAACATATCAAACAAAAAAATAAAAACATTTATAGATCCTTGTACTTAATATTATGACAAAAGTGATATTTGCATTTCTGGTTTTATTTCTTATTTTCGAAATGATTATATCTCTCCACTTTCCTTATATAAATAACGTATTTACTAGTATTTATTTACACAATTTTTTTAATCAAACAAAAAAAAGTATTCACATAATGGTGACCTTGACATGACTCGTTATCACTATTTATTCATCATCCTTAGTCGTAACCAGAGACTTCAAAAATCTCTCTCTCAACTTTCATCGTTTCGCTTTTTGCGTCTCTATTTTCACCGATCCACGGTACTTTCTGTTTTCTGTTACATTCATTTGATTCTTCATCTTTATAGCATTAATTTCATGTTCTGATAGATAAAATTAACAAGAAATTATTCTCTGAAGCTGATCTACTGTATATTGCGTTTGGAATTTGTGGTCAATTCAGATCTAGAAAGCTACGGCGATGTCGTTTATTGGTACTCAGCTGAAGTGTAAGGCGTGTGAGAAAACGGTTTATCCTGTTGATCAGCTTTCCGCTGATGGGACTTCTTACCATAAAGCTTGCTTCAGATGCACTCACTGCAAAGGAACTTTAAAGGTTTTTTTTTTCTGGTTTTTTTGTTAATGTTGCATTGTTGATTTTATAGTACATTGGTGATTTTGTATGTTGTTGAGGTTGTATTTGTGTTTATTTGGTGAATTTTGATTAGATCTTTGGTTTTGCTTGTGTTTGACGCTGCTTTACCATTCATATAAAATTCCTATATGAATTTGATTTGATTTAAGTTTGGGAATAAATAAAAGTATGTAGATATATGAAAGTAGGAATTTCATGAGAATAGAATATTACTTTGTAGATATAGATTAGTTCCTATTTGAAATGCTGAACACCTTTTTAGGGCTGTTTGGATCGACTTAATTGAGCTCCTTTATTGACTAATTTTCACTTTTGAGACTGTTTGAGAGATCTTATGACATGTCCACCGGTTATTTTTAGCTTATTTACTAAGGTTAGCTTTTGAAAAGAGTTTAACTTCATTTCATCTTTGTTATAGATGCACTTATGTGGTAAGTGTTTAGTTAAGTTGTTTATTCAGATAGGGGCTTAATTGACATTTTTATGTGTGAGTTTAAAGGTCGATTTTTGAACAAGGATTATTGTTGATGATCTTTATGTTTCAGCTGAGCAATTATTCTTCAATGGAAGGTGTGCTTTACTGTAAACCTCATTTTGAGCAGCTCTTTAAGGAGCATGGCAACTTCAGCAAGAACTTTCAGTCACGTATGTTTTTCATTCTTCAAGTATCATAAAGATGATTTTTTTGATGTTTTTTTTTCAATCAGAAGCCTCTCTGATTGACAATAATTTCATTTTGAACAGCTGCAAAACCAACTGACAAAGCAACTCCTGAGCTGGTAAGTTTGTTTGATTTTGCATTTTTATGGGGTTTTTTAAAATCAGGTCAATTGCTTTCGGTATTACTGAATCACTATTGGTATCTCATGTTTATTCCAGACAAGGTCTGCTAGTAAAGCTGCTGGCATGTTTTCTGGGACACAAGAGAAGTGTGCTACATGTGGCAAAACTGCTTATCCATTGGAGAAGGTAAGATTTAAAAATCTTGGAAGTAAATTAGTTTAAGATATTTGTTGCGGAGTCAGATATATCTTTGTTATATATTGGATATATAAGCATTCAGACCATAAGAATAGGTATCGATAGTTATTACTGCCATATAGATTCTGTAGATTAAAGTATCCCCCTTCTCTGACTGTGGTGTTTCGTAATCAACTTTTAACATCAAACGTCTTTCCCAAAATTGTGACGATTGATGGAGCGTAAAGAAGGCTGGTATGCACTAGCAGTACAACTTTTCTGAATTATTGCAAGCATGAAAACATATGTTTAGCTTGACCTTTTGCTTTTGTTGGTACTTGTTTTGTTGGTATGTGAAGTATGCTTTTTTTCCTCCTACACTGTCATGTGCCATGCTGTCAAAATTTTAGGATTCTGAACTTTATTTTCAATATACAGACCACATGTAGACTGTGATACGGCTTTCTTATCTTATTGGGAGATATTTAGAGAAGAAAACTGTGTTCATATTTTGTTTCTAAGCCAAAGATGATAAAACCTATATTCGGATTCAGTTCACGACTATGAATCACGGAGACCTCTAGAAGTAGGCGTGTCACGCTGTCTGACACTTGTCGGTTTCCGACACTTGCATGACATCCGTATGACACGTGTCAAAAAAGTCAAACAAGTGTCGGAAAAGTCAGACAAGTGTCCCCAAAAAATTAAATTATTTTTTTTTTGCTTCGACACATTTTAAATCGGTGTCTGATACACATATGACATTCAGACAAGTTTTCTTTAAAAAGTTGTGTTTTTCTTTTCATCAACACACTTTATACATTTTCTAGACAAATCTCACACACGATTAAAAGGGTTAAACATATAATGAAATAATGTTATCAATGAAGTATTAAAGACATTAGTTTTGATTCGAATATTTTTAACTCTTTTGATATTAGATGAATAAATGAAACTCAAATACTATGACATATATAGCAGTGTCGGTGTCCTAGGTTTTTGACATACCGGTGTCGGAGTGTCTGTGTCGTATCGCGGTGTCCGTGTTGGAGTCTGTGCTTCGTAGGTTCATGATCCTTAAAAAAACATGAAACAGATGTTGCAGCTCACTTGAAATGAGAGAATATAACATGTAACCAAAATAGAGAATCCGCTGCTTCAAAATCTTCAAGTCTATGTATTTGTCAATAATTGCCTGATTGAGTAAATCTAATTACTAAAAATCTGCAGTTCTGCACAGTTACCCTTAATTACAATGTGGTGGTTTTTTTGTTCCTATATTCTGATATATATCTTACTTCGAGTGTAGGTAACAGTGGAAAGCCAGGCCTATCACAAATCATGTTTCAAGTGTTCCCACGGTGGTTGTCCTATAACTCCATCAAATTATGCAGCCCTTGAAGGAATTTTGTATTGCAAGCACCATTTCTCTCAGCTTTTTAAGGAGAAAGGGAGCTACAATCATCTGATCAAGTCTGCATCAATCAAACGTGCAGCAGCCTCTGTTCCAGAATCTTGAATGCCAGTGCCTTCTAACTGCCTTTGTTCTGTTTGAAAGTCGAGGATGTTTTGGTCCGTCAAGCAAGTGTTTGTATGTGTGGTTTTTTCTCTCTCTTCATAACAACTGTTCTATCATTACTTCATCCTTTTTCTGATATTTATTTATACATGTGTGGTGTGCAAATCTTGTGTGATTTATTTATCCAGTCCAGTGCACATTCAGTACTGACAAAATGAGAGACTGACTTGCAAGAATGTATCTTACCAATTTGATGATGCAACTTTTCATTGCATTTTTGACTTGATGCTATTATATATATTGTTTTCCTTATACAATTCAAGAAGATTGAAAATTATTAGAGGATTTGAGCTCTTGCTGCTTTGGGTTTAAGCATATTGTTAATGGATTTTTCTGGAAAATCATTATGCATAAGAATATAGGGCGTGCAACCTCGAAAATCAGATGACCTGGAATGAGTCTGATTCATTGAATGGTAATGTTAACCGTTTCACTTACCACTGTATTCTTGAGGATGTCAATGATGAGCTTGAGGGAGAATATTGGGTTGGGTGCAATCTTGTTATTATTGTGCAAGAGGCTTATTGGTTTCATCAAGGTGAAATGTGAAATGTCTCTGGTGGCCGCTCGAGAATATTGGGATATGATCAATTTGAGTGAACAGAATACTTATTTCTTCCATTAATTTACTATTGCCGGGAGACTCAAGAAATATACTTCAGTCCTCTTAATTTGGATAACCAGTGGGTTTATGGTGATAAAGTTTTACAAGGTTTTGTTACATCCTTCAACTGTGTTGAGAAATTTGTACAGTGAGTGTAGGTAAAACTATGTACATACAAAGGAAAACTAGCTTTGACTAGTTGAATTTATGGACTTAAGACCACCATTGGAGTTAAAAAGAACTATGACAGGCTCTCAGGCAATGGAACTTTGAACAAATCGGAAGAACACAGTGAATTTCTTTTCTCACCCTTTCTGGGTCTCAAGAAGTCCATCAGAAACCTAAAAATCTCATTTGGATTTCAAAATTCTTAGCATGGTTTTCTTAGACATTTGAATTCTAACATCCAAATGTTTTAAAAAACATGCAAACTGAGATAAACTAGAAATAAAGTGAAAAACAATATTAATAATTAAATTAAGACCAATTATAATGTGAATAGAGGTATGGAAATATAATTTTACATATAAATGTATTTAGTTTTTAATTATATACATTTTAATTAATCTTTGCCAAGACTACAATATCAGCATCGGCACTAATAGTAATACTGGATATTAAAATATGATATCATATATAAAATATAATTTATTTCTTAATTATATATTTTAATTAATCTTTGTATAGGTCTATTTTATCATATCCATCTTCAACTTTCGGTTCATTGTCATCTTTCTCAACATCTCTAACCTGTATAGGTTTAATATTAGGTTTAACATCATCTTCAGTTATGACATCACTCTAAGTACGACCAAATTTGTTATACTCAACCATTTTAAGAAGATATATGCTCTTTTGCTCACACCATCTTCAGTTATGACATCACCTTAAATACGATCGAGTTTTTTTATGCTTAACCATTCTAAGAAGATATATGCACTTTTGGTCAGAAGTTTGTAGTTGACGATGACTTTTTCTTAGTAGGTTAGTATGAGGTATTGAAAAGTTGTTCTTCAAATATATCTATTACAAAAGTTATGATTGTTTTTTTTATGGAACAAAACTTATGATTGTTAGACATAAGAAACAATAACATAAAATATTTTTTTTACATACATAAAATGATAGCCATACACATGTCTATGTGTTTAGTGTTGGGATTAATCCAAAATTTTGAGTATTTTGAATCAATTTTAACGAATAAGATTTAATTAACCCATCAAAATTTCTTATTTTTCACTCTTCACTTGAGTGAATCAATCACACATTAATTACAAGAATGATTTTGCGCAACAATTGTTATTGGAAGAAGAAAGAAAATTGAATAAGAAAAAACGATTAGAGTTTAACAAAATATAGATGAAGATGATGATTTTTGTAGAGTAACTCTTTGCTCTCAAACTGAAAAAATATTATTCAATTGTGCAACTGCACTTTTCGTTGTGTGTTACAATTCATAATATGGTCACTCTCTATCTATAATTGAGCTAGCTTGCTCCCTAAGGTAAAGCTCAAAATATACAAAAGCCTAAAATTTCTATTTTGGTTTAAATCGAAATCATGTGTCAAGCAACCTGCTTCGACACTTCACATCTAACATAACTCGACAGACACTACACTAGATTAATTTTGACACATCCTTGTTTCTGTCAAGCAACATCTGCTTTGACACAAGGAATTACATTCTCAACACACCGCTTAATTCATTGTGTCTAAGCTATTTATATTCATCATAAACCTTAACTTCTTGAACACTTCAATTTGCACTCCTTACGTTATGATATCTGCAATCTGATTCTCAGTTATGCAATGTTCCAAGTTCATCTTCCCTTCTGCTACTTGCTCTTGAAGATAGTGGAATATCATTTCGATGTGCTTGCTTCATTCATGTGTTATCAGATTTTTCGCCAGATTGATAGCTGACATGCTGTCGATCTTCATGGTAATTGCTCCACGACTCTTCGCTATAATCTCTTCAACCAGTTTTACCATCTACGTTGCTTGGCATGCACAGAGAGAAGCAACTATCTATTCTGTTTCGCACTACGACAATGTCACTACTGACTTCTTTCTCGAACTCCAAGCAACTGGTGCACCACCTAACATAAACACATAGCCAATAGTGAATTTTCTGTCCTCAACATCACTACACTAATTTGAGTCAGGGTATCCCACCAACTTGCATTCATTTTCTTCATCAGCTCTAGAAAATGCCATAGTCGAGAGTTCCTTTCAGATACCTTAGTATCCTCTTCGTCGCAGCTAGGCGTGATACCTTTGACTTATGCATGAATCTACTTATCATACCTACATTGTATACTAAGTAGGCCCTGTGTGAAAAATATATCTTAATGACCTAATAAGTCTTCTATATTAGGTTGGGTCGACATCATCTTCATTTGAATCTTTCGACAATTGCAGTCTGACTCAGTTGGAGTCGAAGTTGGGTTGTAATCTTGCATCTCAAATCTCTTGAGTATTTCGCGTGCATATCTTCTTTGATGTATCATCAAACCTCTACCACTCTTGTAGAATTCGATGCCAAGGAAATATGAGAGATTTCCCAAGTATAACATTTCAAACTCTTCACTTAGGTCATGTTTGAAGTCTTCGATCTCTTTGTTGCAACTTTTTGTTATCAACAAGTCATTTACATAGAGACATAGTATAAGAAATTCACTATTGCTTCTTCTTACATATACTTCATGCTCAGTTGTGCACTTCATAAATTTATTCTCCCTTAGGAAGCTATCTATTTTCTTATTCCAAGCTCTTGAGTTTGCTTAAGTCCATACATGATTTTATGCAGCCTCTATACCTTGCTTTCTTCGCCTTGTTTCACAAACCCAGCTGGTTGTGCAACATAAACTTCTTCACCTAAGGGGCCATTCAGGAATGCACACTTCACATCCATTTGACATACCTGCCAGTTATTCATGTTTATTAGACCAACAACCAACCTGATTGTTCGATCCTAGCAACGGGTGCAAAAACTTCGTCGAAGTCGATTCCTTATTTCTGAAGAAGTCCTTTCGCCACAAGTTTTGTCTTGTGTCGAGTTACTTCTCCTTTAGGATTCAGCTTCACCTTGTATACCCACTTCACATCAATTGCCTTCTTTCCTTGAGGCAATTCGACAAGTGGCAAAATGCTGTTGACTTCGAAGGACTCTAGTTCCTCATTCATTGCTTTCACCCACTACAAATTTTTCAATGCCTCAATTGCATTGACTGGTTCAACATTTGCATAGGAAGCATAGTGTACCAGCTCACCTTTTTCATTGACCACATCATATGATGTAATCACATATTCTTGCAACCTTGCAGGCATGTGTCTTGTTTGTTGAGGTCTGCTTGGGCTTGCTTCACCTCTGACTTCTTCTTGTCGAACTTTTCTTTCGACTTTACTAGTTGGTTCTTCATATAAGATTCTCACTGAAACCTTCTTAACATTCTCATTCCAATCTCATTCCTTAAGCTCATCTATGATCACGCCCATACTGATCATAACTTGCTTGTTCACTGGATCGAATGACTTGTATCCTCCAGTCGAATGATATCTTATTAGGATCATCTGACTTGACTTGTAATCAAACTTTCTTCTCAACTGATCTGACACATGTCTATGTGTTATAGATCCAAACACCTTCAAATGACTTAGCCTAGGCTTAATGTAACACCCCGCTCCCCAAAATCAAATAAAACAATTAAATAAACAATCATCAGAGTTTCCACACCAAAAACGGGATGTCACATTTTCACCAAAATTCCACAAGACATTTCTTAAAAAAAATGATTTTCAACAAAATGGCAGCGGAAAATGAATCTGTCATAAACATACATACATACATACATACATACATACATACATACATACATACATACATACATACATACATACATACATACATACATACATACATACATATATATATATATATATATACATATATATATATATATATATATATATATATATATATATATATATATATATATATATATATATATATATATATATATATATATATATATATATATATATATATATATATATATATATATATATATATATATATATATATACAAGACATTTCTTAAAAAAAATGATTTTCAACAAAATGGCAGCGGAAAATGAATCTGTCATAAACATACATACATACATATATATATATACATACATACATATATATATATATATATATATATATATATATATATATATATATATATATATATATATATATATATATATATATATATATATATATATATATATATATATATATATATATATATATATATATATATATGTATGTATATATATATATATATAT